CTGTAATGATAGCCTGTCCTGTTAAAACAAAGCACAGGGATGTGTGTGTGCATGTGTCCATTTCCTCCATAAATATTCCAGTAGTTGACCATCACCCACTTGTAGCTCTCCAGTGTTTGAGTTAGGAACTGTAAGACATGTGCCAGAGAGGCAGAGATGATCCGTTTCAGGCCCCATAACCCAGTGTCTAATCTCTCCTTTAGAGATAGCAGTTTCTGAGTTTAGACGAATCAGTTTTCTAATTCATTTGCAATGTCTTTCGGATCCATTGGGTGGCAGCAGCAACCAGTGGGAAGGTGAATGGTGGGACTGTGATCAAGAGCTATTGTTTATATTACAGCTCATTGCGGTTTTTGTTAGAGAAACAACTGCTGTAAGCACGGTAATTGGTACCCTTACATTTCAGTCAGCCCCCTGCAAAGTTCAGCAGGCATCTGGCTTGCTCATCCCCCTTCAGTACATCAGCCCTTCCATAATAGCAACTCCTACAAAGAATTTTGGACTTCCATCTTCTGTTCAGCACCGGTCCCAGGTATTAAACACTCAGATGGCCTATCTTTGCTCAGGCAAGAAGATCTGCTCATGAGTGGATTGCAAGACTCGATGCAGAACCCCTGAAAGACGAGCAAAGGAATGAAGATGCCCAACAAATGGGTTCCAGTGATGCTGCCTCAGATGACAAAAAATCAGTAGAGGTAATTGGGCAGAAGGAAGGGAGGACATTGAATTTTAAACCAGATTGACTGGCATAGTCACCTGTAATGCTGTGGGTTTCAGTCCTTGGGGGCTTGACATCAAGTCCCATGAAGGAGGAGAGCAGCTTGGGGAGCAGTTTTACTTTAAAACATTAGCAGCAGATCTCTCTCCTAACGGACTGGGCTCTGTCTGCAGGACATTCATGCGTTTGCCATTAGGAGCCTGGCTGAGCTGACAGCGTACTCCATTGAGTTGTTCCACAAAACTGCAGCACTGATCCTGCATGGTCAGAAGCAAGAGATGTCGGCCGTAGACAGAGCCAAAGCCCTTTCACAGTGAGTTCTTAGCTACGCTGTAATATGTGGATAGCTTTATGCTCTACAACTGGAATACGCTGACTGTCCATTTTCTCCTGGCAGTTTTGGAGAAAGCCAGCTCCAGTTTCAGCTCTGATGGCACACATGCTATCAGTTGCTGAGGGCAGTATTGCTTTCTCAGCACAACTCTTGCTGTTATTGTTTTGCATGCAGAAGTTTCTCAGCAAGAATGCACAGAAAAAGGAGAATCTCACTCAACTTTCCTGTATCCCTGAGAAGGGAACGCTGTTCTTAATTTGCAAACAGGACCTTATAGCAGTTATTCAGTACTTCTTTGCTAGCCAGCTGGCATATTAGATATTGAAACATCTTTGTTAGCTGAATAATCTAACTGCTGTTGCTTAAGACCAGTGGCTAGTAGTATTGTAGAGATGTCTGGTATGTGTGTAAAATAACTTTCACAGACAAGATGACAGTAGCTGCATATATGTCACAAAGCTAGTTAGTGATGTTCCATTTTGAACAGACTGTTCCCTTCCCTGAAGGCAGCTTCTGATTTTCAGCTTTGCTTTGTCCTTGTGGAATTGACTGAGAAACTTCAAGCTCATCTAGAATGGTGAACAATGTTTACTGTCTTTGTTTTAAAGATAAATTCATGCGTGTAAGCTGGGTGTTTTATGGATGATCTTAGAAAAATGAATGGAGCAAAGGGAGCCTTGTTTTGCTTTACTACCACATTTTACCTCTTTCTTTTCCCAGAATGACAATTGTACTGTGCAAAGAATTGTCTTCTCTATCCAAAGACTTTACTATCTGCTTAACGACAGTAGGGGTAAGTGCTTAGCATGAATGTGGTTGGTTGGTTTGAGCTCAACCTTTACAATGCACTCAGACTGTACTGTAATGTAATCCACAGTGCAGTGTAATCTACAGCAGGCTGCATTTCATTATGGTGTAAAGTCTAGCCTCCTAGACTTTAAAGATACACACATCTTATTTGAAAGCCTAGTTGGATCTTAAACTCATAATGTGAACAACAGGAAAGTCATTATTGTTGGCCTGCAGAGCTGATAGCTTTTCAGTCTTGGTCTGAGATCAGGCTATGTGTTTTAGAGAGGTGAAGTCCATAATGGCTGGGATTTCTACCTTGGGAGCAAGGTACACCTTACTGTCTTGACCTGTGGAGTTACAACTAGCTCAAGTGCGCAGCCCATTGCACTGGCTTGTAATCTCCCCAAATTGCCACAAATCATGTACTGGAGATGCCAGGTACAGATACTCAAAGGCCAGTTATTAGACCCTTATTATGTCCTAAGTGTTGTGGACACCATGGATCCTACTCATATGAGTAGCAACAGTGTGCCACCCCCCTGCCTCTTGGGGATATCATGATATCCTCTTTGCAGAAAGGGAGAGAGGGCTTTGAAAGGGACCTGCTGTGTGTGCACATCTCCCTTTGGCCAGGTGTGTTCAAGACATGCCTCCATCCCATCTCTCCCAAGAACTTTCTCTTCTGTTGTCCCAGTTATATGCTCTTGCACTTACTCTCATATCGAACACCACCACGTGGCTTCAATTATGGGAATCATTCATGTTTACACTGAAATCTCAGACTGAGTATTTGTAGAACACATGAATTTGGCATGTGCTGGGGCTTTGAGCCAGGCTTTACACACTACCAACTAGATCCACGGCTCATGTCCATTTAGCTTGTCTGAAGTCAAGAGCTCTATCTCGAATCTGAAATTCTCTCGGGATCCAGTCTTATTTGCTTAGAAGAAATACACCAACTTTTCAAATGGGCTAACGTGTGCGTATCTGTTGTTTATAGGTCAAAGAGAAGGCAGATGTGCTTAATCCATTAATCACTGGAGTGTTTTTGGAGGTCAGTTATGTTATACTCAAAGCTGTAGGTCTTAAGCTAATGTAGATGTGCTAGAATATTCCCGTTTTATTTTTCCTATTAATGCCCAGTTTTCTGTGTGTGTCTTTCCTTCTGTAAAACACTAAACCCTATTTCAGGTAGAAGGCAGGGTGGACTGGAGTAGATTGTAAACTGCTCCAAAGCCCAAATACGATACTCAGTCCTTACAGTTTAACCCCAGCTTACTCATGAGCCTGACCTAAAGATATCTCAGAGGGTTTTTTTTATCTTGTTTCCCTTTGAAAGAGGGCTTGAAATGGACACAGTTTAAAATCTGCGGCTCAGTGGGTGAGGAGGAGGGTCCATTTCTCAGATTTCTCTCGGTGGTGTGAAATCCAGCATCAGAAGCTTCAGATTTTTCTAAAGAGTTTGTTTAAAACAAGAAACAAAAACTTAAAAACCAGCTGTTGCATCTGAGTCTAGAAGCTCACCCCCTAAGTAGCCTTATATGGTTAATAAATAACATAGCAGACTAGTAGTGTCTTTAATGTCATCCTCGTTTCTTTTTTTGTAGGCTTCCAACAGTGCTTCCTATATCCAGGATGCCTTCCAACTCCTCCTGCCTGTGCTACAGATCTCTCTAATTCAGACTCGGACTGAATCATCACAGCAATAAATTACTTCTAAATGAGCACCTGCCCAACCAGCCTACTTCATAGTTCCCATGCTTGGGAATAGGGTAGGGACAGATACCGCAGGAAAGAAAACACTTTGATGATTGGTGCTGCAGAGGGGAAACTGAAATGCTAGCTTGGCTGTGACAGCTGTGCAACTTAGCCGGAGACGTGAAGGATGTGACTAGTATAGTTCAGGCAGATGGACAATATGACAGACTTAAGCTACTTCCCTAAGTTTGGCTGTTTTTTTCTTCTTTTCTCCCTGAGTGTGTTAACGAGCTCCTTGAAGAAAGGTTTCTGGGATTACGACACTAGAATGGAGGCCCCGGCATGTTGTCTGTGGCCACAGAAAATTAAATACTTAACTCTCCCTGTAGTACTCAGCTTTAAGTGTTGTGTGCATGTTGCACAATTACCTGCCCAGTATTGTTGCCCAGGGGCCAGTAAAGACTGGGACCACTGTGGTAGAGGAAATGCTTGATCACCAGTAGTGTGTAGCCAGAATATGCTGGGACTTTGGATTTAGAGATGTGGAATTAAGTTCCTCATAGGCTTTGTTTTTTCAAATATGTGGTGGCTGCAAGCTAAAAGGCTCAAGTTCTTTGGAATGACTTCTAGGTTTGCATAAGAGCTTAGCAGTAGGCTACCTTGTGTTGTGTCTGAGCCTTGCCTTGCATTTCACCTTCCATTACAAAAACAGCAACTTGCTGAAGAGCGCGGACACTTACGGTCCGTGTTACTGACTTGGGGATGTCCCATAAGACCTTACTCCTCTTCCCTGTGTCAAGAAGACATTTTGGGCCCTGGTCTGGGGAGAAAGCAGTCACGGGGCTGACACGGTCCTACTATTCGAGTGCCTGGTTTCACAGCAATAAATGAAAAGCAACTAAAGGGGACTGGTTCCTGTTCAGGGGATTCATTAAAACAATATCACTGGAGAAAACTTGCCCTTCCTTTTTTTGTAGGGCTTGACACATCAATTGCATACAACTGTGCGCTCAGTCAGGTACCATTGAAGGGGTTTCTTAAATCACTGTAAAAAGGACATACTGCACTACTACGTGCCTTGATAAAGCAGCGAAGGAAATGGTTTGATGCTATTGCTGGGGCTCCTTATCTGTTCTAGGGGCTACCTTGTTTCCTTGGGCTTTGAACACTCCTTATGTTGTTCCTCTTTGCACTCTATTGCTTGAGCTGCTTCTGTGGAAGCAAACAGCCTCTTCTGGAATAACAGGCTAAGAAATATGCAACTTCCATAGGATAAAAAGGGAATCTAGAGTAACAAGCAAGAAGTGACCGTTACCCCTGGTTTCCTTTGTATTGATACATCGGTTTTAAACCTCTCAAGGTTTTAGCAAGCTTAGCACCCTTCTGCTCTGCTGCAGAAATGTTGGGCCAAATAGAGAATTGTTTTTTACTATAGAAATGCCCTTTGACTAAAAGCCTCTCCAGTTTTTATATAACATAGGCAGGGCAACCGCCCCTTGCTTTAGTTGTGGTAGTCTATCCTGAGATCTCATCATTATGACTGTTTGTAACAAAAGTGTATGTGGATCTGTCTCAATCTTTGGGGGAAAAAACTGCACCACAATAAAGTATATATATTTTTGTCTTCCTTATTTTGGCAGTGACATCAAGGACGCATTTCTTTAACTGCCCCTTATCAGGAGCAAACAGAAGTATAATCCCAATTATATACACCTCTTGTAGATACTTGAAGGCCTGAGAGGCAGCACAGGGCATGAGTCCTGCAATGCGCGGCTACTCCTACTGTGGAGATTTTGCAAAATGCTGATTAAAAAAGGAGATTTTTGGTAAGGAGTGACCATCTTATCTTGACACCACTGTACCCAAGTGCCAAACCTTGTCCCAGTCAGCATTTGGTTAGCTCTTTTAATAGCAAGTAGTGTGCTGGGAGTGCCTGCTTGTGGGGGAAGGTGGTACTCGGAGTAGCAAAATCCTTGTCACAAAAGGTCCTTGTTAAGCTCGTTAAGTACTGCTGTAATTAAGTGCTGCTCTAGGCCTTCAGGACTCATAGTAGAGATGATATCTTTTATTAGACCAACAAGTTTTTTTGCAAAAAAAATTCTTTAATTGCAAGCTTTCAGGCACAAACACCCTTCATCAGGCATCGGAGAAAAGATTGTAAAAGCTCTCCTGGGAAGAAATGAAAGTTCATAGGATTTCACAGAGGAGTCAATAGATGGAAGACTCCTCTGGGCAGTCAGTTCTTAGCTGGTCTGGAGCCTCTCCGCTCTTGTGAGGTCTTTTGTGGGAAATAAACATGGATGCCCAATGAGCTCAGAGTTGCTGGTTCAATACAGAACATCAAACTCTTGGCAATGCTGAAAGGCTGAGAAAAGAGACAGAGCAGACAGAGCTACAAGCACTGAGGTCTGAGGAGTTACCAGTTGTTGTTTTTTCCCCAAATAGATCAAATGAAATCCATCTGGGTCTTCATTGCAGAACCTGAACAAATCTGCTGCAACCGCCCTGGAACATTGAAAGTGCAGAGCAGTCGAGTCAGACAAAAAAAAAAAAAAAAAGCTTGAACAGCTACATTTCTGTAAGGAACTAGATAGCAACACATTTGGGTTGCACGTTCAACAGGGATTTGCTACCTCAGGAAACCCCAAAGGTATAACATTCTCATTTGTATTAATAAAAGGAGAAGATCTTGTTTACCAAAGAAAACAGCTCTAGATTCAATGAAAGCTGCCTACGCAAAGGAGTTGTCAAGCATACGCTGCCTTCGAGTGAATAGAAGTCTTATTCCTCTGCTTCTGCTTGTGCCTGAGCTTAATGAGAGCTAGAAGTAATTTGAGAGCTGCTGGCAGTGTTCTTTGGGAGGGGAGAGGTTTTCAGTGAGAGAGACGAGGGTCAGATAAGCCAGAAAGGCAAGGAGGGTGCAGCAGGAAGAATGCAATTATCTCCCTTTATTCAAAGAATGGGTTACACGCTGGCTGGGAAAGTGGCTTCTCGCTGACTGCTGCGCAGATGTAAAAACTCTATTCCCCTCCAGATGGTGCCACCGATGTTTACTCCAAGTGCTTGCACAGCTGTAACCGCCATTGCTATTTTTATTAGTATTAAAGCACCAACTTAGAGCAGTGGAAAAATGCTCCGTGCCCCTGGGAGAGCAGCTGACTTCCAGGTGGGCTGAGAGGGTGAAACAAAGAGCTGTCAGGTAGTGAGAAGGCAGGGCATTGCTGGAAAAGGCAGAAAGCAGGGCCATCGGTTTGGGAGGAGGTTGGCTCTTCTGGGAGGCTTGTAGAAAAGGCCAAGTGACTTGAAGCACAAGCAGGGAGAGGAGAGCTAGCAGCAGCAGTGCTGAAAAGGGACATTGAACTCTCGTTCCTTGTTTGCCTGTGGTTGTAGCCAGGTGGCATAGCCTTCTCTTGGAGGCAGCAGTAGGATTAATCGCGTGCATCCAGGATGGGCTTCTCAAGAGCCCCAGAACCATCGGGTCATCAAGAGGCACCTGGTCTAACCTCCTGCTTTAAGGAGGTGAAGTCCTGGAGTGACCAGATCTGCTCTGGTGATAGACATGGTCCAAACAGGCTCTCAGGTCTTGTCTACATGAGGAATATTTTTTATTTCTTTTTTTTAAATATAGGGGGGTGGAGTTTAGGAGGGAGAAGGGAAATAAGCTGCCTTGCATCTATACAGACAAAGTGTTTTTTTAAATTACCTGCTGTTTTCTTCCTCATTCCTTTATGGACTCTCCCCTTGGAAATCTTTAAGTGCAGGGTACAGCAGTGTCCGTCTGCACTGGTTCAGACAGGGCAAGTGCTGGTGTTTTGCACTGAATTAAACATCTCACCGGGCTTCAGATGTAACCCTAAATTTAAGTGCATCGGAGCCCAGCCCGTAGCTGGGAGAAGCATAGGTCGCCTTCAGGAAGGGGGATGATGGCACGTGGATACGTGTTAAGCCATGTCCAACACAGCTGAAGTGAACCAGGTGGGATTTCATCAGGGCCTGGGCCTCAGATCCATCCTTCCAGCTGAGAAGATGGAAAGACCCCTCAGGGGTCCACCAGCTCCATGTGGTCAATGCTCAGAGTGGGTCACTTCTCTAACATAGTCCTCCTCCCCGTCTAGCAGTGAGCTCAACGCCGTTCAAGCTTACAGCTGACTCTCCCCCAAGCGCTACCATTTCTGTTGTAGCCCATGAAACGTGCCTGCGCACTTTTTAAGACGACAATCCCAGAAGGGAGTGCTGTGGAGTCTGATGTGAAGCCATAAGACTTCCCTGAACTCGTTCTTGTTCGAACTAGAGCGGATCATTAAAAAATAAGCATCCATCTCAACTTAAAAGAATGACTGGTGATGGCAAACCTGCTGCTGCCATTGGTAGAAGGGGGTTGAAATCCCGGTCTAGTAAAATATTATGCCTTGTTTCAGCTTTGAACGTGGCGTGGAGCTGGGCTGGGCAGTTTTCCATGTGCTCTGGCCATTTTGAATCCTCACAGGACAGGATGCCCTGCCGCGTGCCGAACCCCAAAAGCTCAGGTCTTACTTGCCTGGGCCATGCTCACAGCTGGAGCTACCGGCCATAAGGAATGATTTCCCCCCCTGTATTTCAGACTTGTTTGCACACGAAATGGCCTCAGCCAGTTTGCCTCATCGTTCAGAACGGCAGAGGTCATTCCTGCCTTGCAGAGGTGCCATGAGGCTGCATTTCTTTGTGCTTTTAAAGCACTTTGAGACATTTGCGGGCTCTGGCATTGCAGTGTGCTGAGGCTGTTATTCCACTGCAAATGGAATAAAAGCAAAAAGGAGGATGATGCTTTAAGGAGGAAAAGTGAGAGCCTTTGGGGAAGATGTTTAGTGCTGCGTGGCCAGCAATATCCACGTGTTAGGACTGGCTGCTGTCTGTGCAGAGGGACTTTCTTAGTGATAACTTATAACTTGTAGCCCCGTCAACATGGGCAGTAGCCTATGGAAGTCCTGCCTCTCTGAGTCAATTTGTCTCCACAATGCCACCCTGCTTTCTGGCCTATAACTTGGAGTGAAGACAGCTGCAGGGGAAGGGGGGATTTTGTTCCATGGTATTCATCCGCTGATTGTCACTTTTCCACTTGACGTCCACCTTGGCCTGATGGTTGCATCGAGATAGCAAGAGAGTCTCGATAGGAGAGAAGTGGGCTCTTGATTAATGTCCTTGGAGAATGGGCATCTCCGCGCTCTTCCGAGCAGGGTCCTGAACCTAGGACGGCTTTATCAGGTGGAGCAATGTAAGTCCATCCCTACTTTGTCTGCATTTGGCGGGACGGCTCCCCTGGTGCTCAGCGTGGCTACAGCCCTGAGCAGCCGGAGGGTGGGTATCTGCAAGCCTGCACGGCAGCCCTGGGTCACAAGTTCTTCTGCAAGGAGTCAGTGTTAGCAGCGGGAGATGCCTTTGAGCACCCTGGGGCAAGTTACAGCATGCATGGGATAGTCGCTTGTGCTTTCCGGTACTGGATATTATCTGTGGAGGACAGTGCAGCTCGTTATTCTGGTTTGGAAGCAGAACTTGGGAGGAGCCAGTATCAGACAGGAACGGCAGAGCCCGCTGCCAAGAAGAACGGAGGAGGCTGCTTGCCTTTCTCCCTTGCTGGTAAGGTTGCTTTCCTCTCCGACTTGCTCTTTCAGGTTGTTGGCTCATTTGTTGAGTGGATGCTTTGCCCAATGGAGAAATGCAGGAAGTGCTCTGAGAGGCAGGGGCACAGCTTGGAGCTGGGTGGAAATCCACTTGATAGGATTGCCAATACCAGGCATTCTCACTTTATATCCTGCATGAACTACGCCAAGTGGGGAGAAGTTATGGGTGAGACATGAGCTACCCCCTGGGCAGGACTTCTGCAGGGATCAGTGTTAGAGAGATGAGAGACTGGGGCTGAAGCCATAAAAACCTTTCAGGAAAAAGCTGTTTCCCCCTCATGTTTTTCTGAGGGGGAATAATGGACATTTGGGGAATTTATGGGGATTTTCCACCTCCAGGAAATTTTATACCTTGGAAGTTTTTTGTGCCTGTAGGATATAAGTAAATCGTAGATCTGCTTATTTGCATGGGCAATGAATATGTAAATGCACACACTTTGCTCTACGTATGCATTTTGTCATGACCTTCCACTTAGATTCACTCGGCCTCCAGGGAAAGCTGCAATGTCAAAACAAGCGACAGAAATCACCACGCTTATAGCTGCTTGCTACCTGCACTGTGGGGAAGCCAAGTGTTGGGGAGGTGGCTGCAGCTTTGCCAAAATTACCTTGCAGAAACCGGGCTGGGTGAGGCTGAGAGTGAGCTGTGAGCAGAACAGGCCAAACCAGATCTCCTGGGCTGGGTATGGAGAGGGGTGACAGAAGGGCAACTGCTTTCACTACAGCCTCCACCTCAAGCACGTAGGCTGGTTTAGATAGTCCGTGTCGAAGGCATGGTAGCCACAAGCCTTGTGGTCCAAGCCTGTGTGGATAGGAGCTCATGCCCCTCTCTTAACACGGGCCCAACTGACTAGGTTTCTAAGTGCAAGAAGACCCTTCTGGTCCCAGTGGGTGCATCTACACGTGCACATTTACTGTGCAGTAACCTAAAATACTGCGCAATATGGGTGCTCATCTACATGTGCATGCCCGTATTGTGCAGTTACTATGGTGACTTATGTCAACTTGGGCATAAATTTGATACCTGCATCAACACACATGCAGACGCCTTATGGTGCTGTAACGCTGTGTGTGTGGACTGACTCGGGGCTATCTTTAGTCCCAAGTCAGACCATGCACAGCACCAGTATGCCTTAACACCTGCATGTGTAGACGCTGGCCTGTTTCCACTAAATTTAACGCGACATAAATGCACGTGTAGACGCACCCTGTGAGATGCATTTATGGATGCTCCCTCTTGCACATACTTGTACAACCTTAGGTTGCTCCTTAAATCATTATTAAATACTTGCCTTTAACTAATCAGTATTAATCCAGAAGTATTAATTCCTTTAAAATATAGGCCCAGCACATGCCATTCCCCAGTCCCCTGCAATTTCCCACAACTTCGAGGATTTGTTAGAAAGCAACATTATTAGTCTTGAATGCAGCTCAGCCAGTTTTTGTAAGACTCCTGGGTAGAAATGATATGACTCCACAGTTTTTGAAGTGCTTAACTTTCATCCTCTTGTTACGGATGGAATAGGGCGCATTTAATTTTCATTGTATCAGAGGAATATATGATCCTACTTCTTTCCATGCGCAGAAATGTTTATTGAAGCTCCTGCCTCTTCTGCATTACAAACGACAGTTCTTACACTCTTGTCTCATAGGACACCCACCTATAGCATTGCAAGGATTTCATCTTTCTTTAGAGCATCCCCTCTTCTTGTCCTGAAAACCCTACTGGCTATACATTTGTCATCGATGCCTTTCACTTCCCTTATGGCCTTCAGTTCCTAACTGGGTGTTTGCATTCATTGCTGTCAGCTTCCCTATTTTTTTTTCCTTTGCTATTTTTTTTTAATTGCTGCTTTCCCTTTTAAATACTTCCTAATGATTAGGTGCATTTTTAGATCTAAATATTTCCCTTGTTTTTGTTCATACTTGCTTTTGGCTTTCAGCAGCTGGTTTTTTAGTAACAACATAAATGAGATCAGGATCCCTTCCATTTAGGCAGCCATCCATTGATTGACTTGTTCAGCGACTGATACTTCGTTATCTGCTAAAGGAGGTCACAGGCAGAATTGCCCTGCGTTGTTTGCAATACTTGGTGTGTGTCTAAGGCCAGGGAACAGCTGATCCCTTAGCGTCTCCACCTTCTTTATCTTCCTTCCCCTCCCAATAGTCCTTTTTTCATGATGAGGCCCCAGGCTTGGGCATGTTTGTTTCTGCTGAACCCTCCCGCTCTCCAACTTGCCTATTCTTTGCTGCTTCTCTGGCCGGGCTGAGGAAGGCAGGACAGGACAAGAAGAGGTGGGAAGGACAACATTTTTCTTCCTCCCCTGCCCTGCTGCAGTGACTTCCCCGTTCACCTCCCAAACCAGCCATTTCTAAAGGTGTCCCAGCGTTCAGGGTGCATCTGTGCCCCAAGGGCTGAAGCCAAGCCGGAGGGGGAGTCATGAGCCCGAGACAAACTTTTACACAGGGAAGGGCTCCCATTCAATGGTCTGCTTCTCTCTTACTGCTGCCCCTTGCCTGGCTTCTCTCTTCTCTAGATACTCGGCCTTTCGGAGGGAGCCGGGCAGCTGCTGCGAGATGTCTACGATCCTGAAGTGTAAGTGGCTTGGTGCCAGGGCTGGAAACCACAGCTCAGTTGAACTGGGGGCACCCGGCGTGTGAAGGGGCATTGGGGAAGCCAAGTCTTTCCATCTGGGTCTGGAAAGCTGCAGGAGACCCAGGATGCGGTCCCTGCGCTGAACAGCTCGGGATCCATCCTGCTGCCATCATCCCATCCACCACCATCAGGGAAAGGCCCACTCCCTGCTCAGCTCCTCACTGCTGCCGTCCTTTATACTCCCCACCCTCCATGCTCGTGCCCTATACCCTGCATGTAAGGAAGGCTTCAGTACCATCCTGCACCATGCCATGGGCACGATTCCCCTCCTGGGCTCAGGGGATTCCTCTCGGGCCAGGCGGCACGGGGCTGCTCCCCAGGCCCATCCTGTTCTTCCCACCTCGTGCACCAGTGCATAACCCTTCATCTTTGTGCTGAGCAGGATGCATCTTGGAGCAAACTGACCTTCCTCCTCATTCTCACCTGTAGGGTTTGGGAGAGACGAGGACAAGGACAAAGACAAGGAGAAGGAGAAGATCAAGGAGAAGGACAAAGACAAGGAGAAGGAGAAGGACAAGGACAAAGACAAGGAGAAGGACAAGGGGAAGGAGGAAAAAGAGAAGAAAGAGAAGAAAAAGAAGAAGAAGAAGGAGAGCAAGGTGAGATGCTGCCCTGCTCCCCGTGTGTTCGCCGGGCTCTGGGGTCTGCCCAGGCATGAGGTGGGCGTCAGGATTGGTCTACTGGAGGCAACATCCTTTGTGACCGGGGTGCTTCAGGCAGGAGAATGAATGCTGGGGCAAGCCAGAGACATGGCTGGAGAGGAGCGCGTGATCCTTCCCCCCCATCCTGTCTGCGGAGGCCAGGCGGCACGCAGGGGGATGCTGAGGCTGCAGCAGGGCTGGGTACCCCCGTGTGATAACAAATCCTTCCTGTTGCCCCTTAGGGAGAGGGGGACGCCGACGACAGCAGCAGCAGCAGCTCTGACAGCGACTCTGAAGAGGTGAGAGTGTGGCAGGGTCTGTGTCTGTGGTGACAGGACAAACCCCTTTGCACTGGGAGGTACTGGTATCTGACTCTGCCCGCCTGGGCAAGGGGTGTTGGTGCCACTGGTCTCAGGGGCACATCCACACTTTCAACCCCTCAGGGATTGGCACCATGGTTGTCAAAGGCCTCCCATCATGGGGCTACTGCCCTCAGACCTGTCTACACAGCTCCCATGGAGACCTCACAGCCATACACGCAAGGGTGTGCAGCTCTCATGGGACAGACAAATCCACGTCTGCCATCATGCAGCATGGCCTGCTGGCCCCAGCTGGAGGCACTGGGAAGAAATGGGATAGTTTATTCTGGAGAAGGATTGGATAACAGTCCTCAAATCCCTGGAGGGTGGTTACAAAGAAGAGGGAGGCAGACTGTTCTCCGTGGCCACAGGAGACAGGATTAGGAACATCAGTCTTAAATTGCAGCAGGGGAGATGTAGGCAGGAGATTAGGAAGGACATCTCTCTGAGGATGGTTGAACATTGGAACAAGCCAACTCGAGGGGCCGTGAAATCTCCATCTCTGGGAGTTTAAGAGCAGGGTATACAGACACTTTGCTGGGATGGGTTAGGCCTTGAGCAGACGGATGGACACGATGTGACCCCCTGAGGTCTTGGCTGATCTGTGATCCTGTCAGTGCAAATGCCAGTAGGGTGAGAGACCAGAGCGCACATCAGCTCTCCTGGGGCCCAGCCCCTGCCCAGACACTCTCATAACCTCATGAGCATGTTTCTTCTCTTTATTGCACCAGGACAACAAGAAGAAAAAGAAGGAGGATAAAGAATAACTTTGCTGGAGTTAGTGCAGGCCACATCTGTACTTCCTACAATTTTACAAGGGCTGGACAGAGCACAGGAAACAGCATCTGCAGAACAAGACTAGTCCCGGAAATGCAATTCTGATGACTGCATCCCAATAAAGCTGCTTGCATGCTGCAGAGACAGGTGCCTTTTATTGCCCAGGATCAAAGTGCCCATTGCAAGCCTTGCCCCACCTGTTTCTCACACTCGTATTGAGCAGGTAGCATTTTCCAAGCTCAGTGCTCATCTCTGAGTGGGATCAGCCTGGCCCATTGCATGGCTGCTGGGCTCCTGGCTTGAGTTCCAGCTCTGGCTTCCACCTGGCACAAGTCACTCCTCTGCCCATGCACTGTTCCCCCCATACCCTTTGCCCATTTGGTTTGATTGCTGGCTCTGTAGGGGAGCACTGTGCAGTATTGTGTGTGTATGCGGCACAGAGCACAGCACAGCATCTGGGCGTCCTGCAGTGCAAGTGGCATGGGCGCAATCCCATCGGTGCTGCCTGAAGGATGCCCCAAGGAGCCAAGGAAGAAGGAACATACCCCCACAGAGCTACTGGGACACCCTTCTCCGAGTTCCCATGCAGGGAGAGCAACGCCACCCTCCTTCCTGTAGCCTTAAGGGTCCCATCATCCTAGGGCAGATGTAAGTTTAATACTGGGAGCATCCAGCAACAGAGGTCAGATGACTTGTGCCAGACCACAGAAGGATGCTGGGATGGTGCAGAGATGCTGCTGCCCAGCTCTGGGCCTGGATTACTGACTAAAGCCACCTGTGGATTCTCCATTTATACCTTTTAAAACAAAACCAACCAAATTCTAACTTTTAGGGGTGTTGGTTGTAGCCTAAGGACATAGGTTTGCCTGCCTAGGTCTACGGGCATAGGCAGACAAGGTTCTTCGCATAGATGTGATCTTTTTTATTAGACCAACCAAATGGTTGGAAAAATGGTTCTTTGCAAGCTTTGGGGTGCAAACACCCTTCTTCAGGCAAAGGGAGAGTTCTAAGTGCAAAACTAACTTTTGCACTTAGACATCAACTTAAAGAGGCAGGCAGAGGTTGAGTTCATAAGGTCCTCCTCAGCCCACAGCCCTCTCTGCTCTTGGGAGGAGCAGGCCTTATTCCCCACACCCTGAGAGCGGAGTCATCATTAAAAGTGATGTATCAGCACCATCTACTGATGAAGCGCTTCCACTGCAGCTCGTCAGAAAGTTTTATAACCGGCCAAGCCTGTTGCATAAGGGTTCCTCCACCAGCCGCATGATGGCAGAAAATTAGTCATTAAATGGAGCTCCGGGTGCGTGGTAGCTGTTTGCTCCGATGTGAAGCGAGGCTGAGCCTGCATCATAGGTGTGCCCAGAGAGGAGTCTGAATAGCTAGGATCAGAGAGCTTGCCTAGGATGCCATGGCCTTTTCAGAATGGGGGACGCTGGCACAGATCCCTGCTCGGCAGCTGATGCTTCAAAATACCGCGGGTATTTTGCTTTTCCTGCAAATGCTTCTCATGCGCTCCTTTCCCCACAGCGCCAACGGGTCCGTAGAAGAACATGGGACACAAAGGGGGTTCCTAGGCCTCAAGTTCATTCCCCTGCATCCATGGGCACTTAACCAAAGGGACCCCCCCCACTCCAAATTGCCACTTGAAACCCTCACTTCCAGCTCCCAAGAACAAAACCCAAAGCCATAGAGACCAAGGGCTCCTTTAGCGGTACCATGAATTATTCCAACTGAGCTTTCCACAAAGGGCCTTCCTTTTCTGGCCTGCATTTGCCCATCATCTGGCCCAACCGGGCTCTGGTCCGTGATGGTGTCACTGCAATGATCACAACAACGAAGCAAGGAAACGCCTTTCTGACAAGAGAAGGCAAGAATTATAGGTGCTTTGAGGACCAGTTTGCTGTGGCCTTCCCCGTGGCTCTCCGTTTTAAATGCTCTCTGCTCAGCAAAGGGGAAATAAAAGGATTTGTTGCTGACACTAATTTCAGACTCACGCTTGTTTAGGGATCACGGAGAGGCGCCGTTTTATTTAAACCAAAAAACGCAGCTTCAGATATTGTTTTCATGCCGCTTCAGCAGCGGGCTCTTAAATAGTCACAACAAGCAGCAGGGAGGATGTGAAAGGAGGTTGTGTTAATTATAGCCCTCGGTGACTGCAGCAACAAACTCTTGCTAGGATGGGGAAAAAAGGAAGAGAAAATCTGAAATCCTTTCTGGTAGGTAACACATGGCTTAGATGGAGTCACCAAGCAAGGATGCTGCACTTTGGGCTTTGATTGTACTTTTTGTGGGGGTTGTTTGTGACTTATGAGCCAAGGCTAATGAGGGATGGAGACTGTTAGGGCCCGGGGTGTCTGGAAGGGTGTGGCGTGAGGTCAGTTAATGCAGCTCAGTGGAAACTATGGGAATATTTTTGGGGTTGTCTCAGGAACAAAGGGCTGAGCTCCATCCTTGCTATCCAGGTTTGGAGGGCTGACTTGGTCAGCGAGGAAGCTATGAAGAGCTCACTCCCCAACATCTCAGACCACCGGTGGCCAGGAGCCCACAGGCCCTGCCTCTCTGATGAATCTCATCTTGGAAACAACTGGGTGGAGGAGTATATGAAGGCATTTGTAAGGATTTAGGAGGCTCAGCGACCTGGCAGGGGGACCTGTGCAGTTTCCAGACCACCCCAAACCCTTTCTGTGGTTGCGTGCTGTAGGAATCCCTCTGATTTTGCTTGAGGAGCTGCGATCCTGAAGCACATGGGTGTCAGGAAGGCTCCTGGTGAGCACAACCACAAAAAAAAGCAGCCTTTCATGGAGGCCCTCTTGCCTTGTGGCCCTTCAGCGCATGCATCACTTTAAGCACCCGAGTAGGACTTTGGAGGCCCCTTGACTTCAAGCCGGAGCAGAGATGCTTCATTCAGCCTGAGCGGTGGAGAGAGGGAGAAGCAGGGTTGTCCCGGCCCCGAGGCTCGGGTGAGTCGAGTGCAACAAGAGCAGCCAGAGAAACTGGCGGCGTGGGAGTTACTGAAGCCAGGTTTCAGTTACACCCATCTGCACGTATTTATATAACAGGGTTATATCTCACCAGGGCTCCTTCGTGCGCTTGGGGCGTTGCATTGCCCTTGGCCGCAGAGGGCGAGGGGCTGCAGAGGGCTTTGCATCCAAGGAGACTGAGAGCCAACTCGAAGCATTTTTTGTCATGCACCATGTGCAGGGGAGACCTGTCAGAGCTGTCAAGCCTAGCGTGCGAGCTTTGAGAGCGCTTCTCATTTAGATTGAGCTCTTCTATGGGTCTGGGGCTCTTCTTGGTATCCAGTCCCTTCCCCATCTATATGCTCACAATACCCTAGTGAGACAGGACAGGGCTATTAGTCTCAGGATGAGGACTTCTTCCACCTGGGAGACAGCGCAGGTAGGGGCTGCAAGGCCTGCGGGTTGGAGAGTTAAGGGGTCTGCTTGGCCAGAGAAAATCTGGGATGAGCAAGGGAGTTGGCTCACAGCTGCAGCAAGATAAAACACGTATCCTTGCAGGGCTTTGCCATTTTACCAGTGTTGTGGTGCTGTCTGGTGGGGAGGCTGCTTTGGTGTCTGCTTTTGCAGGGATTGGACATAGGAAAGCTGGAATCCCTGAGCATTTGGTACTTGCAAGGGTGCTAGTCCACAAGGTTTCCCTCCCCGTAGCTGCATGATGACAGCGAGCATGTGGCATGTTTTTATTTGATGGCACTTGCAATTGTATATCTGGGTAAGGATAATGTGGAGGGGAGTTCAGTGCAGGGGTCCAGCAGCGGGAAGGTGGGAGACACTTGATGACACTCTCTTTTCCCCCCGATCCTGCTAAAGTAACTTAAAATTGATCGAGTAAGAGCTCTATATTGGCGTCAGGATCACTCCCTGGAGTCTAAAAGGCCTGGTTTTATCAGAATTGAAGTGTTGTCAGGGTGGACACATGTTTTGAAAACCTCTCATGTGGCCAGCCCTTCTGAAGGGCTTCAATTGCACCAGTCCGATTGGAAGAGACTGTTTTGACCTTCCTGTTTTGAGAAAAAAAAAACAAGCCCTTTTGAATTTAAAAATCTATTTATCTATAACAGCATTTGAATGGCAATGTTTAGACCAAGCTGGGTTGATTTGATGAAGCTGACCACAAATCCTTTTGCTTTTATGAGGCTGTTTAGAACATTTTGTTTCTGCCCCGTTTCCAAACCGCAGTTTCCCACGAAGCGGGTAAACCTGGTTCTCGCACAGCTCTAATAAATACCCATTATTAAACTCTGCTCATATAAAGATACATTTTTTCCCCTCTTACTACAAGAACATATGGCCTTTTTTATTGTCTGGATTAAACAATATGAGGCCGCCCCCCACCTCCAAAAATCTTTCTTCTTGCAGCTGAAGGATGTTTCAGAAGCTGACACACTTCTAGTGTCTTTTTAGCACCCTGAATATCAACAGCAACTAATGATGCTTTTCCCTCCCTGGCTGTGAATATTTGTAGCATGTGTGTGTGCCTGCATATTATGCCCCAAATCCTTAAATTTAGATCCCTAAATCTTCTGTTAAATACCAACTTCAGGATTCCCGCAGGCATTCTCTGCTTAACTCTGTCTGGGGTTCAGTTTTGTCAACTTCTCTGGGAGGACCGATGTTTAAGAAATTGTCTTCCCTCCCGTGTCGTTTCTTCTACAATTCCTGCTTGTAGTCTTGGGAAAGAACGGAGCCGTGTCATTATTTCCAGAGCTCAATAACAACACGGTTATCAAACCCGCAGAGAAATGACACGGGGTTGTTGCATTTGCTTAAATGCAGGGGAAGGGAAACCAGCTTCCAGGTGCCTGCTTTGTTCTGGTGAATTTTCAGAGAGCAGGGCCAACTCAATGGAAAAAAAAAACAACAAGCTGAGCCCTTTAAAGGACAGTTATATAGCTGGTTATGAAAGCGAGTGGGCTGGGCCAGCCGGCTGCCTGGTGTGAGCCGTGACTCGCTTACACAAGAGTGATTCACCAGCAGTCTAAAGTACAAGGAGAGAAGCATGCAAATAAAATGTACCCATGCGATGCAGCAACACCACAAACCGATCCCAGCCCCCAGAGCTGCTGCTAACATCAGCTAAGGCACGGACAGACTTTGGAAGTCCAAAACCTCTGGACAGGCTAC